TATATTCTACCATGCCTGGCAATACCAGTGTTTCATTTAAATTTTGAGGAAGTATTTGGCTTTACTGCAAGTGCATCAGGACTAACACGTAGCACAATAATCAGAGTGGACCAACCGGTAATGATTTGGGAACAACAGGAGATCCCCAAATATCAATGGCAGCAGAGCATACCATGTAACACTAGGGCCCTGGTGCATGCATTTGCACATTTGTAAGGGTTGGTTTGCTTACATGTTTATGATAAAAACACTTTCAATGTAGGGGAAATGATCAACGTAAGTAATTTCAGTGTTTCATGAATATTTGGCAATACTTGTCTGACTAGATAAACGCAATTGCCTGCATAAACAAAAATACATTATAAATGGAAATACACAGCTACATATTTTTAATTTAACAATACAGTGCTGTAGATTTCAGTAAATGCTTTGTTTGTGTCTATCTATTCTAGGCAAATGATTAGAATAGATACTCCTGCTTTAACATTCACATCCTCAAGAGGGCACTACAGTTACATAAAAAGAAAACAAAATGAACCATAACTTTTAAAATATGCATAAAATAATACTTGGGTAGGGAGGGAGGCAGGATGTAAGAATGAAAGGCTGGGGGAAAAAGGAAACAAAAATCCAAAGACAGAATAAGAAGATTCTTCTTATTTCTGTGGTTGTGTTTACCTGAGATGCACCAAACCCTGTACATATAAAGTAGCATTTGTTAGTAATGTGTAGTTTTTTAAGCATCTGTCCATAGCCTGAATGGATACCATCATTCATCTTCACATAAGGTATCATACTATACATATTAAAATAGTATACTAAAGACAAAATTAAGAGGACTATAATCATATTCCTTTTTACCATTACTTTGTTATGATACGTCAATAAGTTTGTTATGATAAGTCTATTGAACAGTGAATTCACTAACAGGTCTAACACGTAAAATAAACATTTGCCTAAAAATTGCATTGCATTGTTAGTACAATATGTACATTTGTCTATATCTTACGGTTGTATTTTTCTGTACACTTCAGGAAATAAACAAATAAAAATAAATAAATACTTCAGAACTGCTTTGCGTAATCTCATAAAAATGACCCATATGCCCAGCTAACCAGCAGTGGGCTTTTGTGTATCAGTGGGATCAGAGTGTGTCCACTGGAAGCTTTATCAGATACGCAAAGGACCAAAACCTGACAAATCAGGTAAACAAAGCAGCAGATTTCTAATTAAACGAAACACAGAAAAATCAAATAATTCACAACTATAACTATTTCTATCTATATAATTTTAACGGCATGCCAGTGAAAGGAGGAGTAACATGAGAGGAAAATGTGAGTTGCTTTCCTCATCTGCATCAGTAGGACAGATTATTAATAAAATAAAAGCGATGCATCATTTCATTTTAATAAGGCTGTTTTATGAATAGACTGGTGTATTGCATGGGATAAACAACACATCACTAGCAACAGATCATGTGATATAGGACATATAAGTTCTTCAGTTCCAAGTCATGAGGCTGAAACATGATATATGAGGAATAATGCAATCTACATTTTGAAATAATACATTCACCTGACTGGAATACGGTTTGGATCACTGCATTCAAAAAAACACTGCTTGGTCTGGCTTTTAATTAAATACCAATTTATAATCCCTTGATATGATTTATTGTAGCATTAAAAAAAGTTTTCGTTCCTGACTGAATAAATATTTACTGTAGCAAACCTTAACATCACAACGGCAGAAGCTCACATCACAGATGATCTTCAATTCATCAGATTATTAGATGCATAACAGTCAGAACATTTGCATTGAGTAAATCTAAATATCAGCACAGTTGATTCCTTACATTTTAAAAAGAATTACTGGGTATTAATGTGCTTAAACAATAAACAGTGCAATAAGCAAAGCACTAATTTCATGAGTTCATTTTACCGATTTATTCTGATTAGTTGCTAGGGGTGATGTGCTGTTCTCCCGATTTTTAGTAAATACACCTGTTTATGTGAACGTTTATATTAACCCAAAACCTATTTTTTAGTATGTTTGTCATCATGCCACACTAAACACTTTTTTTTTCTTCAATTCTTTATTTATTCTTTGGGAAAAGCAGAAATAGCCATAGTACACATGTACATTGTATCAATCTCCCAGCCTTATACACAAACATAGACCCAGAAAAACCTCAACCATAGGAGATCCACCCCTTCATGGCTGAGCTTGTTTTCAGTTTCTGTTCGTAAATGACTGACTCACTTTTTACATTTATGCTGTGTGATTCTTTCACATCAGTAATGTACTTTCTTACTAAATGTACCCACAACATATTATATATTGTTTTTTAGAGGACAGATAGGGCTATACTAAAAAATTAGGAAAAAGCATAGAAAACACTTCTTTTCACAAGTTTTTATTATAGTATAAAAAATATATGTATATATAATTTTTATTTTCTTAATTTTTTTTTACACTTTTTTTGTTTGCTCCAAACTTAGGAACAGCTAATAATAACCTTAGAGACTAATCCTGACAGCATGTTAGAATCAGATCTCACTAAGGGCTTGTTCACACCATTTTCTGGTCCAGATCTGGTGCAGATCTGCAGACGCGGAGCTATGCGTACAGCGCGTTTTTACCGCGTTCCAGTTCCTTTTTTTCTGTGGAGTGGGGCTGTCAGCTGTTAACTGCAGTGCTGTGCATTTTCGGCACGGTTTTGTTACTTTTTTGACGTGTTCGTGTGTTTCCGGACCGGAGAAAATGTGACATGCGGACTTCGCTGGTGAGAACTGGAGCCCATAAAACGCATAGGAATACATTGTGATGCATTTTTAGTGCAGGAGCGAACTGTTCTGGTCCGGACAGAATCCGGACGTCGTGTGAACAAGCCCTAAGGCCCCATTCACACTGAGCGATTCACAAATTGCGCGTTTGTCGCGCGATTTGCACTTTGCGCGATATCGCACGTTTGTCGAGTAAATGCTTGCATTGAGCAAGCTAGAATCGCGGCAAAATCCGCTCCAAAAAGGGTCCTGCTGTAGCGACGCACGACCCGCAACAGTGACGGACAGAGCCCCATTGCCATGCATTGGAGAGCGATATCGCGCGGTAAATAGCCGCGATATCGCGGGAACTACCGCGCGATAAATCGCTCAGTGTGAATGGGGCCTAAAGGTTTCTGATTCTGCCCAGACGATCAGAAGTGATACATTTCAGGCACAGAGATACATTGTAACATTCCTGTGCCTGAAATGTATCACACATAGACATTGGGCCAGTCTATGGAGCTGTCAAAATGAATAGCAGAGAGGCGAGTCACTCTGCTACCTCTCTGCTATCTTTAGCGGTTAGCGATCCGGTATTTGTATGTGATGCCTTCATTCTTTCAATAATAAAAGAAAGAGGCTTTTGCAAAAGCTTAACTGTTTCTTTAATGAATGTCTCAATACTGAGGCATTCATTAATAAATGGTAACCGCTGAGAATCAGCGGTTACCAGAATTTCAGAGCCGCAAATAACTGGTCACGTACAGTCTATGTGTCCAGTCATATAGGCACTTCGTGGCGGGACGTACATTGTTCGTCTCCCGTCAGGAAGGGGTTAATATGTACAAGTGGGACTAGGCCCTCCCTGCCCCCAACAATTTTCGGAAATTTAAAATATAGATATAGTTAAACAAAAATACAAAGAAAGTCAAATCTAGCTGCTGAGAAAATAACATAGCCCAGCAACCAAACTGAACAACTTATTAACGAACCTGAAAACCACAAGAATAGAAAAAGATAAAAGCAACAATGCGAGAATCAGAATCACAAGGGAAGAAAAGGAGATGAGAAGAAAGGTGACTATAATCTGTTCTTAAACAAATCGCCCTTTGTGAATCTGTGGAAAATTTCTTACCTGGAGATCCTGCCAGTGACAGCAGTTCCTGTTTCAGGCTGACAAGAATAAGCCTCTGCCTTGCAGTTAGTAATATTGCCAGCCTTCCACACACACTCATTCAGTTGGCCCCTGTGCTGCCTATCAGGTCTTTAGAAGGCATGGCAAACCGGATAGAAAGGCCACTGGCCAAATGAAGAAATGCACACCAGAGACGGACAATACTTTATATACACAAATTAACATATACTTTGTGGCCTACATGCTCTGTTTTTCCTTAATAGTCCTCATAAATATTTACGGATTAAGTAAACTGGCCTGAGTGATTCAAAAAAGCAAAACAAAAAATAATTTGTTTCTACTCGATGCAAAGAGATGGGGGTCTTTGAATGTCCAAGTAACCTGAAGACTAGCAAAACAGACTTACCCGCAAAAATCCTTTACCTCCCTTGGCCAGACTTTCTCCAAAGTCTTTGGGTTGTCTACCCATCTCTTCCCTCCGCTTCTGCTGATACTCTTTATCCATGGTGATGGCTGCCAAACCCTTCCCCACAGATCCTGTAATTCGTGACACTACTCCAGCTGCTCCTCCTGTGTGCAGAGAAGATGGGGTGCCATCAAGTCAGCAATCTAATATAACTATTTAGTTACATAACCCAACATGATTTTTTACATTTCTTTGTAACGAAACAGAAGGTACAAGTAAGGAGAAGTAAGTGTGAAAGCATGGGCTGGACTGAAAAATAAATTAAGAAAAATAAAATAAAAATTAATAGAAAAATATGTTAAACCATTAAACTGCTTATGTAAATGGCAGGCCCTACAGCTCGGTAGTTTTCTCTTCAGGTTAAGCAACTCCCCGCCCCCACGCACGGACCTAACACCGTTTGAAGACATTTGTATAGTGGGCAAGTACGTTGACCATGGATTGTCCAAAGCCCATGCTCTCCTGGCACTGACACCCGGCCTACCCAATCCTAGCTTCCTGACAAAATGGGAGAGAGACTTGTCTACCACCTTCTCTCAGGACCAAAAGGACTACATACTCCACTTTGACCATAAAGCCTCTACAGCTAGCTCTATCCAAGATACTGGATACAAAAAAGTCTTACTCGATGGGATTTTGTACCCACCAGGCTTCACAAAATGTTCCCCCAAACCACCGCAACATGCTGGAGATGCGGACAGGCAGATGGCATCATCCTCCACATCTTCTGGTCCTGTCCACGCCTCTGTGATTACTGGGATGCAGTCATACGGATTATCAAACTATTAACAGGAGTGTCTCTTGCTGGGGATCCGGCCGCCCCGGACCAGATACCGCGCATCTCTGCTCATCCACCTGGTCAACGCTGCCAGGGCCTGTATACCTCTGTGTTGGAAAAGCTCCAGGCCACCCACAGTCCCAATGTGGCTCCTTGGGTGGACGAAATACGGATAATGGAGGAGCTCACTGCGACTCTGCTCCATGCCGAAAACACATTCCGGAAAACAAACCTGGTTTTACTGGTTGGAATATCTATACTCCCCAGAGTATGGCGCGCTCATGGTGGAGTGAGACATCGTATCATGCTAAGGGAGATGTCAATTCAAGAAGCTTCAGATAAAGCCGGACACGCGTGCCTCTGGGGGCCGGCGCTGTGTTCCCCTACCACCTGCCGGAGCCTGGCTGGATACCTACCTAACTTCTCTGTATCCTAAATCTTACTCTGATCCTTCTCTTTTTTCCCTCTTCTTGGTCTAAGCCCCTCTCTATCTTCTCCCTCCCTCTTCTCTGTGCCGCCATGTTACGGCTTCAGAATAACTAGTAACTAGCTAAAATGATACCTTTAGCGATACACAGTCCCAAGGGCCTCCTATGTACCAAAGGAGGGTTTCGCATAATGCACATCATACTGTCCCCCCCTTAGCCCTGAACAGTGGCACTTGTGTGCATACTGGAGTAACCTGTGGAAATAACATCGCTGGGACTCTAGAAACTGTAAAACAGTCAATTACTGTACGAGCTTCTCACACTATTACTGTGACTATTTTATCAACACTCTCTGTATGATTCTTTTTTCTCCCTCTATCTACTGTCTGTACTAATGAAAAACTGAAAATAAAGAATTAAAAAACAAAACAAAAAACTGCTTATGTAAGCAAGAACATGCCTCCCTTTTGTACTCGGTCTGAGATGTGAATCCCAGTCATAAAACAATATTTTATTGGCACAGGGAACTCAGTAGAGGTTATCAAGTGCAATACAATACTAGGTACAATATGTAATATGTTGAAGATCCAAAGTACTCTATTAGATAATTTACCAAACTGGGTATTGCTATGATATTGCAGATAGTCCTGCAAGCAGGGAACTTGGGAAGTCGCATATTCAGATGTCCATCAGCATTAAAGTGACTTTGCCATTTAAAAATAATTTCCAAATAAATCTCCCTGCAACAGAACAGGTATAATACCTCTTTGCTGGGTGTGGAGCTACGCTGGCCCGAAAAATCAGATAATTAATTATATTTTTGGGTCTGTTAGATGCCTGGTCCCCTGCTATAGTTATAGGTACATCCACCAGTCTATGTCATTACAGGACACAGGACACAGTAGTGATGTAGCCACACACCTCACAGTGAGGGAACAAGACTCCCCACACATGGAAGAGGTAAATATTACACCTCTTCTATTGCAGGAAGCTTTATCTGGAATTCTGTTGTGTGCTTGGAGCAGTGACTACTTTACAACACACACAGGGACCATGGGAACAAAAGTAGGCACCATCCAGAAGGAAGGACAGTGTCAGCACCAATTCAGAGATGATTTGATGATCCACAGCTGAGTGATGCACAAATAAGATACATTTTTGTTAGTAGTTAGGGTACTAGAATGCAAGCGGATTGAAATTAATGTTTTTCATTTAATTACATTAAATAAAAAAAGCTGAACCTATAAATTCAACAAACTGTAGTGATCGGACTTATTTCTCTAAAAACATAATAATTCTCAAACAACTACTTTGCAAAATTTAGCAAAAAACTATTCTACGGTTTCAATACCAATATACTGTATGTTATACTGGTCAAAGTTTTAAAGTGGTACTCAGCCCAGTGGAGACACAGACAGCAATATATAACTGACAGGTGTTCTAGTCTTCCACCTACTTTGAAAGCTGTGAAATACCAATTACATGAAGAATATGTCCACACATTTAAACAAGGAACAGAGTGGAGCTTACCAACAGTGTGCCCAAGAAGGCTCCTCACACCGATGACTAAGCCTTCTGCAAACTCCTCTGGGCCCTGCACTGCACCCTATAGTTAATGGCAAGAATAGAGCAGTTAGGGTAGTAGATAAGGCTAAGCAAATTGACAATGAAGGGCTTGATAACAGCACTGGAATACGATATGGAAAACCAAGGTACGCAGGCCTGTGCACATACTTCATATATTTATGCTGGATCTTTCCAGCATAAATATATGAGCTTAAAAAAAAAGTAAATATGAAATGTTTCCAGCCTGAATTAAACGTACTGAAGGTGTTTTAAACTTACCTGAAACGGCTCATAAAAGAAAGCCTCCACCCCTTCCGAGAGCCCTCGAATCAAGCCAAAGGGGTTTCCTAAGACATCCAAGCCAAGGACGAGCACATACAGCTGCTTCAAGAACTACATGGGAATATAAACCAAGGACAATAGTTGAAATGAGTGAAATTGAATTAACATACTAAATTAAATAAAAAGATTCCAGATAAAAATTAAACCATCGGTATGCAAGAGGGATGGTTTTGCAGGACCATCACTACTGATAAAATACTTTCTCAGCGACAGTATGTGAACATATACATTCTGTTGGTATGTTGCTGTATAAATGTGTAGAAGAGCCCATGAAGCAAATAATCTGAGGGAAAAATTAATGACAGTGAACCCCGTAGCTTACCTGCTCACTATAATGCCTGATAACAAGATTTCTCAGCTGGTCGCGCTTGTAGAACTGGTACCTCACTTCAAAACAAGCCAACCTGTAAGCAAGAATATAAAACAACTCTGCCATATGTTCTTTAGGTTCTAATCAAAAATCTCTACATGATGAATGAAGTGATACACAATGTTTGCTCAGAAGGGCAAATGTTAGGTTTACTTGAAAATGAGATCATCTACATCGGTGAGAGTGGCTCCAATGCTTTTCAAAAGGAGATTTACAGAGCTGATGGCAACAATCTCACGTTCCTCCTTGTTTGATTCTTCTCCTCCTGTTCCCAATGAAAGGCTGAGGTGTAACTGGAGACGAAGAGCAAAGGATAACGCCAACACCAGCAATGGGTTTCTTTTTTTCAAAAACTATTTTGAAAATGCTATTTTGCTAAATTATGCTATTTAAATTAATCTGATGCTATTTTGATTTCTATTGTTGGTGCTATTTAATACCTTATCCAAAACATTCAGAGTATTGCAACGCTCGTCCACAGTGGACAAGCAGGGGGAATCCAGGTGCTTACAAGCTAGAGCTCGTCCTCACTCCCACATTAGCTACTGTAAAAGCAATAAAACATCCGGACCCACTCCATATGTCGCTGGAAACTTATGTTATTAAAGATCACACGGCTACACAAAGGTCTGCCTCAGGTCCGCCCTTCTATCGTGTTTCACCCAATCCTGGGCTGTAACAGGTAAATAATTCTCAGTAGATACATGATACTTGCACTTTACATAGCAAAAAAACAGGGACCAATACATTTTGCAGATGAGCATAGTTGCTCACCTTCATAAACAAATATGCGTGTCTGCTCAGTAGTGATGAGCCGAACACCCCCGTGTTCGGTTCTAACTCGAACTTTCGAGTGCGCCGCCCCCCGTACCTCTGATTGCTTGACTTTTCGCTGCCGCTGCTCTAACAGGAGATCAAAGGGAGATCATTACTTGATCATTCCTTTGATCTCTCTTTCTGTCCCCGAATGCAGGAAGTGATGTATATTACATCACTTACAGTAATATTAAACATGAATAACCAAGAAGTAGAACAGTCTGAACTGCAGGCACTATGCCAATTGGCCTAGTCATTATTTAACCCATTTGAAATGTAAAATTATACTAAGACAGGAGCTGTACCTACAGTGTGCTTGGTATAATACTAGAAATTGCACAATATGTAGTTTGCACAATATGTAGTATGAAAACAAATACTATGTGAAATATTCAAGTTTGGTACCTTCACAGGAGAAATATGGAAGTGCTCAAAAAAGCTCAGGGTGGTGATATCTGTCATAGAAGATTCCATCAACTCTCTGTTCAGGGAATCTAAATCTTTCTGGATCAACTTGGTCTATAAAAACAAAACAAAAAAAGAAAAGAAAAGGTCAATCATGTTCACTGATGTATAACAAAGTTAAATACATATAGCGTATCTAGCCAAAAACCTTTTTCTTTGTTGTGGATAGAGTAGGAAAGGTTATAAACCTCAACGGCCTTTTTTGCTGTCTATGTCCTATTAGCGAGCAGGAAGAAGTGATGAGAAGTAAGGGAACGTCTACACTGAGGAAATGGACTACAAGAAATAGCTTATAATGGTCCTAAACTTTCCGTGCATTACTAATAACAGTGTTTTTACTGCAAGTGTACCCATCACTTCCTCTTCAGGTGGCAACGTTGCCATTCAAACAAGAGATGGAAAAATCACTTTTAAGGGTTATAAAGATTACATGAAGCTACAAAATTACATAAAATATGGAAAACGTTAAATGCAGTATATACAATGCAAGTCTCAAACTGATGTTTTCAGCCTCTTTATATTGAGGCTGAATGCAACATTTTAACCCCTTCGTGACTGACGACGTACAGTGTACGTCGCCAGCATCGGGGCTGTTTAAACAGACTCCCGGTGACTTTTGCCGCCGGGACTCTGTTTAAATTTGTAGAGCCGACTGTCGGCTTTACAACAGAAGCGATCCTGGCGACTTACCTGTCGCCAGATCGCTTCTGCGTCCCGAAGAAGGGGCCGCCCCCCCCGCCGGACACCCCCGCCGTGCTTCCCGGGCTCCGTTGCCCCTCCTACGGGCC